GTCATGTAAAACACTAAACAGAAACAATCATTGAGAACAATGGGGCTCATTTTACCAAGAGTTTCCCATGATGCCTACTCTGTGACTGTGGTGACTCATCGGAGAGACTATGATATGAGTGATCCAGTCTGCTTAAGAGGAGAGAAACAAATACATTAGATATTCTCAGTGGTGCACACCGCCCCGCTACCATCCGTTGAGCCCACACATGTGTGAAATTAAAGCTATCACGACCTTACATCTGACTGAGAACGCGATTTCTCTTGATAAAACATTTCTGCTGCAGAGGAATCAGCGAGGACACATTTTCCTGCTCTGATGGCCTGCAAGTTACGTACATGGGTAATAACAACGAGATGCATCTGCATGAACTGTAGGTGGTGTCAACACACAAAAATGGAGGGAGAGCTAATGTAAGTGTGTGTGTGTGTGTGTGTATATGAGTGTTCGTACAGGCCCGTGTACACAAAGTGGCTTATGTGTGTATCTGTATCCATATTCATTAAATGTGCAGAGGAGAATCCAATAACGGTTGTGTCAGGAGAGATTAAAGAGATTGACCTTTGGTGACTTCAAGTGGGGCAGTTGGGTTTGTGTGTGTGATAGTGAGAGTGTGAGGGAGAGAGAGAGAGAGAAAGAGAGAAAGAGAGAGGGTGATGGGATTCAGCTGGTAAGAGAGAGAGAGCGAAAGAAGCAAAGGTGAGGAGGGGAGAAAAGACATGTAGGGTTATTCCCATCAGAAATAAACAGGGTCGTATTGAAGAGCACATAACTGTATCATGAACATAACCTTTTTTTTTTATGAGAAATATGAATTCTTACAGTAATGCCACAACCTCTGATCACTTCACAAGTGGGTCTCCTTTTGAACTTGATCTGGGATTTTGTCAAACAAACTGGATCTTGTGTTGGATACAAAGCTTCGCCTGTCTGCCGTTGCTTTTGGTTCTGTGCAGCCTTATATCAACCAAGGCTGAGCGATATATTGCCTGACCATCACAATCACTGTATGTGTGATAGACACATCACAGGATGTGCAATCTCAGCCTTGTGACCTGAAACATGTCATGCCGTCACCAGTTTTATGTTTTCCATGATGGACCTGCAATAAATTCCTGACTGGTATCATTTTAGAGCAGCCACGGAAAACTGACCCTGTGCTGACAGAGTCTGTGTTGATGTGAGGATCAGGAGACGACAGTGAGTTTTCACTGAATTAGAGGTTTCGCTCACAACATCTCATCATGCCATCTTACATGACTGACTTTCATGTCATCAATCAGAGAGGATTGATGACATGTAAGTTTATCGCTTTTATAAGATAAGTTTATGAGGCGTTGTGTCTCTCTTCTTGTACTTGCTCTTGTCTCTTCCCTCCTCCATGTAGATGAGAGTCACAGTCAAACGGCTGAACACAGTCAAGTAAAAGTCAGAGATCGATCTGGTCTAAGAGCAAATAAGCTAGAAAATCAATAAAATCATTTGTGAACTCAAATAAAAATAAGAAAACATGATAACTTTACATACAAACACACCCTGGAGCAACGTTAGGAGTTAATATCAGTCAGCAGGAGCTGGTGAAATTTCTCTGAATAATTCTGCATATGCTTGAGATCTTTTCTCTGACATGTTTATGAAACAGAGACTTTAGCTCACCTGCTAAATGTCGGTATTGTGATTGACAGGATATTAATAATATTTGCTGCGTTTAGATATAATCCTGTCCACATTTTCCTGTAAACAGCTAAAAAAAAGAAAACATTAAAGGACACTGTTATTCTGATTCTGATGCTCTGGATGGATTAACCTGTTATTATCTAAATTGCCGATGGGGCAGGAGAGAGATTGCTGAAAGATGATTCACCTTGACTGTTTATTAGAGAGAAAGTAGCGCTCTGCATGGACAGACATCAGAGGAGCCTTCTGTTCAGCATGGATCCATCTGTTACTGAACTAAAATAACGCACTCAGGGCCAGGCAACAGGGGCGTGTCCAGACATTTTCGGCTGGGGTGGCCCAACCAGGGGACCGATACTGTGAGCCCACGCACAAATTAATCACATTTTTTACGGCATCTGTGTTTCAACACCGACCATATAGTTAATTTCAACGGAAGTGTTGTCTCTGTTCAGGCAGAAAGCAAGATAAGATGATGTTTTAAGTTTTTTTTTGTCTACACAGTGTTCAGTTTAGGGGGGATTTTGCACCTGGACATGTATCCTAAGTTATGAAAAAAAAACATTAAAACTAAATAAAACTAAACAATAACTTATTAAAGGGATATTTCCGCATTATTATTACTTTATCATTTTCTTGATGTAATAATCATATTTATCGTTTTGCACTGCAGACGCGGTCGTTCTTCTAACTTAGCATCTCAATCTGATTGCAGTTCCATGAAGAAATGATCATAAATGTTCTTCCTTGAGCTGTGCCACCTCGCTATAGTCTGTATTGGACTGGCCTGAGGTTTTGCTACAAACAAGCAGCTGCTGGAAGAGAGTGGGTGAGTTGTGTTTAGTCTCTTTGGTAAAGAAGCTAAAAAGATGTTTGGTGGGTAGTGCTGTGGCTGGTACCCTATATGTACTGTTGATGAAGTTAGGTGCTGTTCTGAGCATTATTGTGGCTATAGAGTGGCGTTTGGTTGAGCACGTGGCTCCCTGTATTGCTATCTTGTTGTCATTACTAAAGTTGGTATAACTAGAGAAGCAAGCGGACGGCAACATTCATCTCTTGACCGGGTGTCTAACTCGGTGTTACGGTGTGTTTGACCCTAACTTAATTTTACGCTGGAATATCCCTTTAATTTAAAAAAAGGGAAATTCTTATACTTTGTAGTGGTAAATATTATCAATTATGCATTTGTTTATTTTATTTTCCACCATACGTCACCTACCTGATGGTTCTTTTTCCAGTGTACTCTGTAAGCAGAGTTGGGGATGTTATCGTGAGTCTATTCTGGGAAGGGTTGACAGCCTTTCAGGTTGGATCACACCCAGAATGTCAAAATGACTGAAAACCTCTTGAAGAAGCTCTCAGGTACTCTCAGGCATCCAGGTGTTAAAGGAGTCCATGTGTTTGTCTGAGTCAGCTAGAGTAGTGGGACTGAGCAGTCATTATTTTGTAGTTGTTGAAATGGGAGAAGCTGGCAAAAAGAGGGGCAAAAGAGACTCAAATGGGAGTGATTTTAGCATGTAACTGTGCTGTTAATGGTGCTCCTGTGAGCATTTGCACCATGCACGCACACACATCCCCACTTGGACACCTTGAGAGAGCGGTAAGATCTCATACCTGCGTGTGAGGTGATTTGCAGAGTGTCTGTTTCATTGTGTGTCTGCTCTGAATGGCCTTTGTTGCTTCACATAAACGCTGTATCTGAGCTGACTCTCCAGTGACCTTTACCTGCCTCGCTCCACCGTTGCAGAGTGAAAGTGGCTGCTGGGAATCAATGGTCTCCTCTCATCAGACACACAGAAAAGAGATCTCTATGCACACTCCAGTGTCACAGCCATCACACTGATATTGTGGGGGCATGTAGTCAGCGCTTGTCCATTTGGCGTCCCTCCAGTTGCCGATGTGTCCTCTGTCAGACAGGCTGACATTCAGCACAGCAGTAACTCATCGATCCACATACAACAGGAGAGAGAGAGAGAGAGAGAAGGAGGGCGTCCAGGAGAGAGGGAGAGTCGGGGGGGGGGGGGATTTAGGAGGCTGTGGAGGTGTGGGGGCACGCTGTGAGGCTGATGGCATGATAGCGAGCTGAAGCAATAGATAGCATCAGAGGATTGATAGAGAGCTATCAGGGAGAGAGTTGGAGCGGAGAGGCGATGGAGAGCTGCCTGAATGATAGACTGGTGAAAGCAGGATCACCTGCTACTGAGCTGACAGGAAGTCAGTCAGAGCAAACAAAGAGCTCTGATGGTCCGGTCAAAACTACCGTGCTCTCTAAAACGGTTCTGGGCTTTTTTTAGACCACTATGATGCCTTCTGTTTGCGCTCTGCACTTTGTGTAAGCAAGCCAGGCATCTTATTCTCAAAGGTGCTGCTATGTTGGGTTAGACTTCAAACTTAAAGGTACTCTGTGGAGTTCTCCTGTAAATAAACACCGGGTTGTTTATGGGCTGTATTCCTCAGCAAAATAAGGGACTGTGTTCATCCTTCAGGCCTAAATATTTTTTTCTGTACAAAATCTTTACCTAAACTTTGACAAAAAATGACAACCATCTTTCTACAGCTCCTGATGGAAAAGTTTGCTGAGCTGCACAGAGACATGTTTGTCATTATCACATGATGCAAATATTTTAAGACAGCAGAGGATTTGCAAATCAGATTCAAACATGTTGACGAGTTTTGTGTCTTTGCGTCCATCTGTCCTTCTGTTTGTGAAAAAAAAACAGAGCAGTTGTCTTCGAATTCGGCACAAACATCCATGAAAAAGAGTTGGTTGTATTTTGGTGGTCACTGGCCAGAGCTGAAGTCAACACATTCTGAGAGACTGTCAGCTAGGGGTGGGAGAAAAAATGATTTGCATAAGTATCACAATTTTTTGTTTTACAATTTTTAAATTGGTTCAAAAAATCTTTTTTTTGGACAAATTTAAGAATAAATCTTAAAAACTGACTTACATGTGATATGTACTTTTTGCGGAAATGTAGTGCCTGGAATAGTCAGTAGACAATCATAATCACTCAACTGTTCCACTGATGTTAAAAATACAGACTAAAAAACAAGAAAATCGACAACATCGTAGAATCACAATTTAAATCAAATTGGCATCTACAAAATCGTAGAAGAATTGAATCGAGAGAATATTGTATATCGTCCTAGTCCTACTGTCAGCTGTTCTCAGGAAGTCTCGAACCATTTGTGATCAATTTACACTCAAAAACCCTGATTGGATTAAACACTGTAGGTGGTTATGGTGTTTCTTACCTAAAAGGTCAAAGGTTAGCATCTCTATGTCATCATCATATCTAGGCCTGTCGCGATAATCAATAAATCGCCTTATCGCTCGATAAATAAAAACGAGGTCGATAACTTTGCCAGCCTCGATAATTTACGTGCGTTTGTTTTCCTCCTCTCTCGCTACCAAACACGCTGGATGAGAGAAGAGGTCTCACTCTGCGCATTTTTCTCGGCACCTGGGGGCGTTGGCTCTATAGCGGAATGAACGGAGTTAGTGAACCCTCCTGTCAGTCATTCAGTATCTTTGTTACGAGGGGGCGCGCGCGCAGGTACACGTAGGCGCGCACAGGCACACGGACACAGACTTTTGGATACAGTGCTGCAAGTGAGCGTCGTGAGTGAAAAGCAAGCAAACAGAATGAACACGACAGCTTTGGTGTCTAAACCGAACGCAACAGCCCAAGTGTGGGAATATTTCGGCTTTAAACCAGTTTTGTTTTCGCCAACCAGAAAACTCCACGTGTATGCGCGCGCGCTCGTGTGTGTCTGTGTGTTGGAGGAGCACAGCAGGCTGATGAGAGCTGTCATAGCGGACAGAAGCTGCTCCTATATGTTTAGCGTTTAACTGACTGAGTTTTGCAACTCTGTTTGTCATTTTCGTCTCATCCCATCAACGTAAACCCACTTTCGTCTCGTCACATTTTAGTCATCTCCGACTTATGTTTAGCTCGTCAACGTTACGTCTTCGTCGTGGGTAAAATTAAAGTTTATCACTTTTGACACGGTGTACTCGCATTATTATGCCATTTAATATCATTATCTATAATTAAAAACCCTGATTGGATTAAACACTGTAGGTGGTTATGGTGTTTCTTACCTAAAAGGTCAAAGGTTAGCATCTCTATGTCATCATCATATCTTTAAAAACCTCTCTTTTAGCATTTGCCTCCATCCATTTCTGTTGAAAAGTTACCTTAGAGACCCTTCAAAGGAAAGTAAGTTCACTTACTGACCCTACTTTTAAAATACACAAAAGAGTTATGTGAAAAATCTTGATTTAACTCTCAGAGCTCACACTGTTCCCTCTTGATACTTCCTACAGAGATACACACAACAGTAACTACATGGCTTTAATGAAGAATTTGTTCCTGATGAAGACACGGTCTTAATAGTTTAGGTGTGGTTAGGTTCTGTCGCATAATAATTCAAACGAATCTGTCTGCTGCAAAGCTTATTCAAAACCTGTTGCAGCTGAAGGTAGCACGAACATTTTCTTTCAACATTTTGAAAAAAAGGCATTTGGACGAATTGGATAAATGTGTCTCAGTAAAAGATACACAAAACTGCTGCAGCTAACAACCTCACACTTAAAAGCAGCAACATTTGCAGAATCATCGCCTCATTGCATCGCATATGACAAGAAAGTGAAAATTATGCAAATCAGTAAAAATAGTGTGCCTATATAAAGAAAAAGCTGTATGAGTGTGCAGATGTGGCAAACCATTATTTTGTTTTTAGTTATATATCATGATTTTTTTTGTTTTGTTATTTTACAGGAAGGAAAAGAAAGAAAGAAATTTGTGTAAAAAAACAAACAAACAAATAGACAGCTGAGGTTTTATTTTATGACCATGTTTCCCGGCCCCAGAAAAACCCTCCGCCTGAGGGTGATAAGGCTGTGATGTAAAGCAGGGTCTGAATTGTGAACTGTGCTGCTTCATTTTATCTATTTTATCAAGAGAGAAAAAGGGCATGTCAGAAAATAACGGCATAATTCTCACAATGTCAGAGTCAAATCTTTGGATCTTTCTCCCCTAAATACACCTCAGCATGTCATACTCATGTGGCTTTGTGCTCCTCTTTTTATCTGATATTATTGCATTTCCCTTGTTGTTCATGTATTTTCATCAGGCAGTTTGAAGCTGTGATTTAGTTTTTGTGATCTGTGCTGTCAAGTCTCTGCCTGTCACCCTCATGTGTTTTATTGTTGTTTTGTCTTTTAGTTGTAAATGGTGAGATGTTTATGGACTCTTTTGGGGTTTTCACTTTTTGTAATGATTACATCTCTCACCTTGATGATGTAGCACTTTTTCTACATCTGTCATTTGTTATCATGAAAATACACTAACTTGCACCCATTTAAAAGGGATACTCAGTGACTTTTATTAATTCAGCTTCAGTTTAGAAGGAGAAATAAATGTTAGAAACATTAAAACTTTAGATGTATAGTTGCTTTGCTGTGGTGTTTTTTTCTTCTTCGTAGAAGCAGATCAAACTTTCTAAATCTGGCCTGTTCATCACACTGCCTAGCGGTCTCTGTATTTGATCTGGAGCTGAAACTATGTTCTTGTCATCCTTTTGGTTCCCTTCCAGACAGAGTTCTGCTAATGACTGCTGCTGGTTCTGTTCACAATCATCCAGGATGATTAGGACTGTGACCTTTAGCAGAGCCAGATAATTCAGAGCTTAGTGATTTTTATCCTCCTCTAAATTCTGACAGAGAGAAAGGAGACAGAGAGAGAGAAGGAGAGAGCGCTTATCGTAAAGAGAGAGGGAGCAGATCAGAGAAACAAGGTATGGAGGAGAGGATGGGGAGAGAAATGAAGAGGAAGAAGGTGTGGAGGCGCAGATGAAGGGGGGAGGATCACACTGTGCTACTCGCCCTGGAGGCACTGACATTATCTGGGAGAGGCAGGCAGCGGAGAGAGAGAGGTGATGAAAGGAGAGAACGGAGGGAAATAGTGGAATAAAGAGGAGTGAAATGTAGCTTCTGACGTTCTTCAAAAACTCCTGACATTTACCAGGTTTTCCTGTGTGCAGGCTGGACAATTGGAGTCCAGTAAAGGCCACCAGTTCTCGCCCCTCTGCCGTGGTCTCGCCACTTTCATCAAGACTGAAAACTGCGTTTAGTAAACTGAGAACAGGAATCAATGAGCAGGATCAGAAATGAGGTATTTCCACAGAGGGAGAGTATCAAATCCAGAGTTTTACAGTCTGTGTTTACACAATTGTTTTGGAGAGGTGTCGATGGAAAATACACGGAATAATAAGATTAAGGTTCTGCTTCATTCAGTGTGAGAGAGTATTCCCCAAACTGTTTTAAAATTTTGAGCGTGTTAAATATTTAAACATGCTGTAAGAATTTTTTTTTTTTGTGAAGATTGAAACAGAAAGAAATGAATACTCTTACCTCTTTATGAGCTAAAAAAGCAAATGAGACTGACACGGCCTGTTAGCGCACAGCAGGAGCTCCTCAAACACACACACACACTCAGATATGCACAATATACACACACACACACACACACACACACTCGGATATGCACAATACACACATGGCTGTTCTGCACTTTTGTTGATGTATGCACATAGCTGGGAATCTACAGCTACTGTAAAGGCTTCATACAGAGACTAGGGATGTCCCGATACCACTTTTTACTTCCGATGCCGATATTGTAGCCTCCAGTATTGGCCGATACCAATATTGATCCGATATTAGCACAAACTTGTGCACGACAAGTTTTGTACTCAGCTGCAATGTCTTTTTTGGACTTTAACGAAAAATACTACCATACAGCCGACATCACTCCTATTCATTGTTTCTTTGTTTATACCTTAGTACACACTGTTGTTGTGATCACCTGGGCTCTGCATACTGGACCCGGGTGCTTCTAGATAGAGGTGCCAGAATGGAGTCTGGAATAGACTACTTATATTGGAGTTCTGATATCGGAGATTTTAGATGCAGGCTGTTAAAAAAATGATATTTGTTTTTTGGCTGATATCAGACTGATATCCAACATCAATATCATGTTGAGACAGCCCTAACAGAATAGTTTTTTTTCACCGAGAACACCGAAATCAACCCAAAGCTGAGGTTCCTCACAGGAGCTTTAAGATCAAAATGCTAAGCGCTGCATAGCCCTGCAAGCCCCCTCCTCTACGAACCTTCTTTCTTCTGATTGGCTATGTCTCCGAAGGCTTTCCAGAAGCTGGCTGAGGGCAGAGCTTGTTGTTTTGGCCCCACTCCCTCGAGTGTGGTCGATCAGCTGAGCAGCGGAGGAGCATTACCCCCCATTTCCCTATGTCACCTCAAACGCTGTTGGAGGCAGTCCAATCCGCTTTGCCGGAAGCACATGAACCAGTAAGGAGAGTCTGTAATTCTTACGTCAGACTTCAGTAAATCACATAAACTACAGTCCCGCATTTGCGCGTTTGTCTGAGATTTGAGCAGTTTACATCTACTTTTTCAGATGATAAAAAAAGTACATGTGCCTTATGATTTGAAACTTTGCATACATGTAGTACAGACACCAAACTTTGTAACTTTGCAGTTTTTGTTGTAAACGTGCAAAAGCATAATAACCCCCCTTTAAAGTAATGCAGTGTGTTTTTAATTTGGGGACTGCCAATATAAACCGAAATAAGTAAAGGATTAATACTTGAGTTTGGTTGTTGAGTTACCTCCAGATCATTATCATGTTTCTCTTGGGTGAGTACTCAAGTCTGAGCTCGTCCAGCTGCTCATGCAGAAAACCTGTTGGCTTTGCAGTAATGTTTCTTTTCCATTAAAGAAAATTGCATCATTATGAAGCAAATCTGGGCAGGGATGGTATTACGGCTCATGTGAAGGTTCATCATTAACCGCATGGTTAAGTTGAGAGACAGCCACCTGCTGACCCTGCGCCAAATCAGTGACAATGCAGCTCAGATTCAAAACACCCTTTATGAAAAACAGCCGCAGTCAATCCCCCAATTAACCGCCCGTACAGGCGTGCTGAGTCAGCACTATGGCTGGATCTGTGGGGGGAAAAGCAGCTTTACCTCGACTTACTGGGGCAAACATCATTTCATCATGATTAAAGCTCAATGGTTTGAGACCTTGTCAGATGCCACACAATTAGCCGACATGGCAAACCGCCAAAGCTCAGCGTGTGTGAGTGTGTGTGTGTGTGTGTGTGTGTGTCTGGGTGGGCACATGTACAACTGTGCATGAAAGCGTGTCTCCCATTAGGAGAGTCTGCACTTTGCAGATAAATACTGATTATCAATCTCAGCTGTCAGTAAGAGGGGCAAAAAGAGAGCAAATGTTGAAAGGCCTCGTGGAGAGAGAGCTGATGAAACTCAGTTTAATTTAACTTAATACTAATTAAACACACAGACTGTATGCACTTGTTATTCTCTGCAGAAATAAAGCTGTCATATAAATGCTGAGGAGGATATTTCAGATGGTCATCAGAATTGAAGCTGAGGTGAAAACATTCACACTGTTATTGCTGTGGAGTGCACTAAGTGGAAACTGCTGCGGTTACATTATTTATCCTCTTTACAGTGGAACCATACAGCAATGTACACAAATAGAAGGATGCCTCACAGTACCGAGGGCCAGCTGTTCTGCACAACACCAACATTAATTGTCAGAGACATAGAAATACAGTTGATTCTCTTAGTAACAGGGCCTTACCAACAGTGAGAGTTATTTTGCATTGA